CTCTACGGAGCCCTCAGCCCCGAACGGGCCCGAGCCGCCGCCAGAACTCCCTCCCAGCGCAGCGAGGCGCGGCCCCGGCCCACGCTCACCGATGGTGGAGATGAAGGTGGCGTTGAAGGCGTCCTCGGAGAAGCGGAACAGGGCGCAGGTCTTGCCCACGCCCGARTCGCCGATCAGCAGCAGCTTGAACAGGTAGTCGTAGGTCTTCGCCATGTTTGTGGGCACCGGCCCCGCCCACCACGCGCCCATTGGTGGAGCCCGGCRGAGAACGCACAGAGCCGGCACGCCATTGGCGGGCGTGCTGCACCCGGATGTAAGCGGCGCTGTGATTGGCTGTCGCCCCGCCGCCGGTGGCCCCGGTCATTTCCTGCTGCGGCCGGGCGAGGCGGGGCGGTGACAGTGACAGTGACAGTGACATCACGGCAGAAAAACACAAACGGGACAAAAAGCGGCGGAGACCTCGGGACTGTGAGAAATTGTTTAATATGAAACGGCAGCGACAGGTGCCCGCGGAGGTGGCGCCACCGCCCGGGTGCAGCTTCTACCGGGGTTTATATAAAAGGACTAACGAACCGTGAGGAACAGCCACGGGACACGCCAGGGGCTCCCCGGGGGCTCTTGGGCTGAGATGGCCCCGAGGGAYGCCCGGAGCCTCTGGTGTGGCTGTGTTGGTCATAATTTAATTGGCTTTTCCAGGATACAGAGACAGAGAAGGAGAGGAGCGATGCGGCGGAGCAGGGACAGGGCTGGCTCCTGTCGGTGGCTGGCAGCTCTGCGCCTCTCATATACAGTTCAGTTCATTTAGCGTCTGGTCCAGTGTCTGGTGCAAGCCCAAGTTCTCCTCTTTGGCTTGAGCAAGTTTTTCTAGTGAGAAAGAAGAAAACCACAAGATTTAAATCATGTTATTTTACAGCCTTTGCTCTTTAAAAAAAAAAAACCTGGGGTAACTTACCTTCATGTTTAAGACACCTTTATAGCTATATCATCAGAATGGGGCCAATTTTTTGTAATTGCTGTCCTGTAGCGAGGTTTTTGGACACGTCTCATGTAAYGTGAAAGACCTGTGTTTTAATGAGTCATTTACAGGACACATCCTGATGGGTTTTCCTTGAACTGAGAGGGTTTTTAACCAGGCTGGTGGAGCAGAAGTAGACACTGAGTGCACTCAAAGCTTTCCTGGGAACACTAAAATTCAAGTGTTTGCCAGAGCCAGGTCCTGCCCCATCTGTGCGTGCCCAACCCTGTGTGAGGAGCTGAATGTATTTCCAGTGTCACCAGTGTATTTGAGGTGATTTTTACAGAAGTAAACCCTGAAAGATGGAAGGTAGAGGTATCAYGTTTTATTGAGCTCAGTTCCTCAGAGGTGGAAGGGTGGCTTGTGGAAGTGGCACAGGAGTGACAGGGATTTACAGGCAAGAAAAAAAGCTGGAGAAAACACAGCGAGTGGCAGCGCCCTGCGTCCCCACAACAGGGACAGGTCACAAAGAGGTCATGTCATTGAGGGCATGGTCAAGCTCCTCACTGATGGCTTTGTACTTCAGCTTCTGAGCGTAGAGCTCGTCTGTCAGTCACGAGGGCAGCAGCAACGGGCCAGCGAGAAATGCAGGGAGAGAAGAGGCCACAGGAGGAGAACGGAGACAGGCAAAGGGCCACAGCAGCCAAAGCAGTTGGGGAGGAAAACAAAAGGAGAAAACAGAGGCGTAGTTGAATATCAGAAGGAAAGCAAACCCCCCACAGAGCTGCCTGGTCAGAAGTTTCACCTGTGTGAATTTTTTTGTAATCTCATAGCAGATTAAGTAAGGTTGGGCTCTTGAACCCCTGAGCCTCTCTATCTGTCAGTTGGCCAAAACCAGGTCATTGTTGCCAACTTTTTGAAAGAAAACCTTTTTCAGGAGAATTTCCACCCCACCAGGGYAGGTGCCCAGTGGACACATCACAGCCATCTACCAATATGCCTGATGAGTGCTGCTGYTCTTTCCCAATAAAATCCACCACCCATTCCTAAAATGTATTCTCTGATTCAAAACTGACCACTTTTAAAACAATTCGAGTCATTCCATACCTTCCAGGTCATCRATAGACTTTTCCAGTTTGGCAACAGTTCTCTCTGCAAATTCCGCACGAGTTTCAGCCTAGAAAAGTTGAAATAGCATCATTGGATGCTCCTAAAAAAAAAGTTATGCCCAAACACAGTTTGGGGATGGCCAAACTTACTTCTTTCAGCTTGTCAGAGAGAATCTTGATCTCTTCTTCATATTTATCTTCCTTTTCTGAGTACTGTGAAAACAATAAACGCTSTTTAAGGAAGTTGTAGCAACGATAATAAATGTTTATGAAACTGTGACCTATTTTTAACCACTTTTCCTTTCACAACAGCTGCAAACACCATTTCCGTGCTTTTTCCCTCTTCCCCAGCCCTTCAGGCTTGTTTGGGCAGAACTGATAGAGTGGTATCCACAGCAAGCAGGTTAAACCTTTCATTTGCTTTGTATTTCTGGTTTATTTCTATGAATTCTATTTAAAARTTTGGGCTTTGCCCATATCCTTTAGTTAACTGAAAGAACCAACCTTTTCAGAYTGAGCTTCCAAAGATTTCAGGTTGTTTGTGACGTTCTTTARTTCCTCTTCAAGGTCACTACATTTACTRTAAGGGGRAAATAAAAGTATGAATTACCAGTGTGCCTGTTATGATTTGGAAAAGTCTAAAGGGAGGAAGAAATGAAGTCTGAAGGGAGAAAAATGGGTATATAGTAAATMAACAAGCTTTTCTGCAGGTACTAACCTGTAGTAAACCTGTCATAAAATTTTTCTAATGAAATGTAGTGCTGGCTTTTACTGTATTCTAAAAGTTACTCACACTTCAGACACCTCTGCACGCTCCTCAGCTCTCTCCAGTTCACCCTCCAAAATAACCAGTTTACGGGCAACCTGTAAGAAGAAAACAGCTGTGTCAGGCCAGTCTGCAATTCAGAATCACAGCRTGAGGGACCTCAAAAATCATCTCAWTCCATCCCCTGCCACAGGCAGGGCCACCTTCCTCACAGACTGCAAAAACCATTCTAAAGTACTAYATTCCTGCTTCCATTGGAATAAGGAAATTGGGTTAAAATGTACACCCACAGATGTTACAGTCCTCCCCAAATAGTGAGATTTTGCAGTATTTTTAGYGTTAGGTACCTAAGATGCTGCAAATCATTATTAAAATTCCTTCTTGTTGGGAATGTTCCAAGRTTGAAGCATCACTCAGTGCCAATTACACTAAGAGGGACTAAACTGMAGGGTAACATTGTTGTTCATGGCTCTCATGTACGTTTAACCATTTCCTTCTCCCTTTTACCTCCTCATATTTGCGGTCGGCCTCTTCAGCAATGTGCTTGGCCTCCTTCAGCTGCATTTCCTGAATTTCCATTTTCTCTTCGTCTTTCATTGCTCTGTTCTCGATAACCTTCATTCCTCTGCAGAAGTCAAAGAGTGTTTACTGCAGAAGCATTTCAACACTTGTACCTCAACTTCCTGAAGTGGAATTGGGYATTTGTGACCCAAGCGTGGCCCATTATGACCATCATGTTCATCACTGTTAACTGAATTCCTCATTTGAGCTTGAAAAAATGTTTCAAGTCTCTGACCTACAGCCCACATGCAGATACTAAATTATACAGGAATATTTTATTCRTATTTATTCAGATTTTAACGGACAGAAAATAAAAAAGGAACGTACCTCTCGCTCTCATCTGCTGCTTTCTCAGCCTCCTCCAGTTTCTGCAGGGCTGTGGCCAGTCGTTCCTGGGCACGATCCAACTCCTCTTCCACGAGCTGGATGCGTCTGTTCAGAGCTGCCACCTCACCTTCAGCCTGTGTGAAACAATCACCCAGATCTGGGGTTAATCGGCGAGCTGGCAAATATTCCCAGCTAATCAGCCTCCTTAAAACTGCARCAGCATCTCCCTGGGACATGCAGGGGAGCTCCAGGGGCCCTYCTGCCTCTGCTTTTTTGTTTGCTTAAACTGTGGCATCTCAGGAATGTCAAGGTATGGAGTGTGGCTTGTCCTTTCTTTATTTAATGGTACTTATCATTCCTGCCACACAAAAAAAGGACTCCACGGGATTGCGAATGGATCAGAATGGATCTGGGTATTTTTGGAGCACAGTCACAGGGCTGCATCTATCCAAAGTTAAAAAAAATGAACAGTTTCCATGATGGCTTAGTTCCAAACCCTTCACCGTTGATTTCTCTGCCCTTGGTTTCATGCAGGGACACCCTGTCACAGCTCACTGTGAAGCTGGAGCCAATTCCTGCTCCATCCTGGCTCCTGATCCTGCAAACGCTGGAGAATCTATGTGGTCAGTTGGGCACAGACAGCGGCCTCAGCGTGGCAGTCAGGCGTTTTTTGGGACAAAATTATATATGTTCTTAAAATAAGTTCACTTTGTTTCCTGCGATACTAAAGGAATTAGAAGGCATTTCTTAGAAATGAGATCTGTTTGTATGTTATTGAATAAACTGCACAGTAATTGGAATGCTATTAATGTATAAAAGATAGCTAATACATGGAAGAGATTGCTGGGAGAAATGCTCAATACAGACAACRTGGACAAATTGGTGTCCATAAATAYGTTTATTAARATATGGCTCCTTCAATTGCTTTTTTTTTGAAAGAAAATAAAGCCCTGCTTTAGTAACTGCCAGATTTGTGCACTTTATTGTCCCAAAATCTGAGGAGGATTGCTATATACATGATTTAACTTTTTCTTTCTGAACACTTTTATGGGATACAGACCCTGGAGGAGTGACTGTTTTATGCTTTATGTTAAAACACTTTGAAAAAAAARAAGTGTTTGCTGCAGTTTAGTTTGGTCACTGACCACTCCTAAGCTGGAGGAAGTGGTTTCCATTCACATCTGAGCCATCTTGGAAAGAAGTTCAGTGGCTGATCCAAATGGAAGCTGACCCAGGATTCCTGTAGTCATAAATTATCCGACATTTCGTCTGTTTTTACCCAGYGCTGTGTTTAACTTCCCGATTTATACATAAAGCATCGATCACGTACAAAACTGCCGTCTGTTCTGTGGCAGCAACTCCTTGCGCTAGGCAGGGCACTTTTAAGTCACATTTTAATTCAGCAAGATTCCAAAGCTACGGGGCCACTGGGAATCTGGGGTGAGCCTGGCTCCACCTCTCCCAGCAGCAGCCCGCAGTCCTTATACGGTAAAACTAACTCGCTGACATGTGATAAAATAGCAGGAAGATGCCGGGAAGGCTGATCGCACACAAATCTAAGTGAAACCAGCTGTCCAACCCCGGGAGAGCCGCACGCTAGCGCAGAATTCGCATTTCTCTGTGAAAAGCAGGAGGGAAAGTTATTTTTCAGCAGTTCGGACATTTCCCAGCTGTGCTGAAGCCAGCGGTGCGGCGCCGAGAGGCGGGAACTCCCCGCTCTGTGTCATGCAGCGCTTTTTCCTAATTAAACAGCCATTTCCTACTAAACTCGCAACCGCTCCCCAGTGCCGATCGGTGCTCGAACGCCTTTTCCGCAGGGATGGGCCCCAAAGCGCGATAAGCAGCGGGCGCTGGGGCCGAGCCGCCGCCGCGCCCGGTTGCCCCGCGGGACGGGACGGGACGGGACGGGACGGGATGGGATGGGATGGGATGGTGCGGGCGCGGCGCTGCGGCAGCGCGGGCGGTGAATGCGGAGCGGAGCGGAACGGAGCAGCGCGGGGACAGCCGAGGGATGGAGGCAGCCGGCGGCCGAGCCGTCCTGCCGCAGCAGGGAAGAGCCGGGCGCGCCCCAGCGAGAGAGAGCCAGAGACAGGAAGGAAGGAGCAGCCCGGGAGAGAGCGACCGAGAGAGGCGAGCAGGCAGCCCGGGCGGTCTCACTTTCTCCCGCAGGTCCCGTTCCAGGTCCAGCTCCCGCTGGAGGACCTGGGCGCGATCCTCCGCCTCATCCGCCTGTTGCTGCAGGCACTGGATCTTCCTCTTGACGGCTTCCAGGGAGCTCGGCGCGGCCATGGGCGCGGCGCGGACGGCGGGCTGGGCGCGGAGGTGCTGCACGTGGCGGGCCCGCGCCTTTCAATGGCCCGATGACGTCACGCGGCTGGAGGTGGAGGTGGTGACGTAGCACCGGGGAGTCGGCGCAGGGCAGGGGCGGGACGGGACCGGACGGGCGGGGACCGGGGATCGGGGCCGCCCCGCTCGGCCCCAGCTCATCCCCAGCCCGGTCCGGGGGATGCACACCCCGGCCGCCGCGTCCCGGGGCCGCCCCGCCTATCCCCCGCCATCCCGGGGGATGCACACCCCGGCAGCCGGGTCCTGGGGCCGCCCCGCTCGGCCCAGGGGATGCAGACCCCGGCAGCCGCATCCTGGGGCCGCTCCGCCTGTCCCCCGCCATCCCGGGGGATGCAGACCCCGGCCGCGCGTCCCGGGGTCATCCCGCTCGGCCCCAGCCCGGTCCGGGGGATGCAGACCCCCGCAGCCGTGTCCCGGGGCCATCCCGCTCGGCCCCATCCTGGCCCGGGGGATGCAGACCCCGGCCGCGCGTCCCGGGGCCATCCCGCTCGGCCCCAGCCCGGTCCGGGGGATGCAGACCCCCGCAGCCGTGTCCCGGGGTCATCCCGCCCGTCCCCCGCCATCCCGGGGGATGCACACCCCCGCAGCCGCGTCCCGGGGCCATCCCGCTCGGCCCCAGCCCGGTCCGGGGGATGCAGACCCCGGCAGCCGCGTCCCGGGACCGCCCCACTCGGCCCCCGCCCGTCCCCCGACATGCAGATCCCGCACCCCCATTCCGGGACCGCCCCGCCCGTCCCCCGCCGTCCCGGGGGATGCAGACCCCGGCAGCCGCGCTCCCCGTTCTCAAAACGGGGGAGGGGGTTTCACGCCTCTACCGGGCCCTGCCCGCGCTTCGCCACTGCCAGAACGGAGCGGGGTGTGGCGGGGAGCCGGGGCTGGTCTTTAAGCCTGCCCTGGGCATGAAGGCAAAGGGTATCGTTACGCCACAGCATAGCTCTGCTGCTGTCCCATTTCCTTCAGAAGTCACCATTTTGTTTACTTCACTTAAAGGAGATTTCTCCTTTCCTAAAGAATTCCCATCCGTTTCACGGGGGAGGCGGGGAGGTGCCCCAGGGTTCCACCAGGGGGTCCCACCAAGTCCCCTCTGGATACCCATCGAGCCTCAAGTGGTGCCAGCTCCAGGGCTCGGTACAAAAAGCCCCCCCGCTCCCTTAGCAGAGGCAAGAGGAAATGAAAATCCTGCACCGCAACTCTGCCTTTCCATCCCCCGGCAAAGTGCATATAACCAGTGTAGTGCTAGAGACGAGTGTTAGCTGTGCATACGTACATCAGTGGCTTTCTTCTCAGCCTGCTCCAGTTTCTCCTGGGCGTCTTTGAGAGCCTCTGAGTACTTGTCCAGTTCATCTTCAGTTCCTTTCAACTTCTTCTGCAGAGCTACCAGCTCATCYTCTACCTTTCAAGATAAAAAATCCCAAAGTGAGCATATTGATGTAGTATCAGTTAGAGTTTAATATTATAAATCCCTCTTTACTATTAGTTTTAACTCMATATAACATACAAAAAGTCACGAAGGACCAGATCAAAGTTGTGCTGGTGACAGTAGTCTGAAAATCACTGGTAGCAGTTGCCAGGGAAAGAAACATATCCTTGAACAACACTCCTTGCTGCCACACACACAGGATCTGGTTTAATACAGAACTTCTTGTATGAGCCCTTTTCCACCTCATTTTTAGTTTGGACACTCTGCAGCAATCACTTTTGCAGCATAATTATAGATGTTTTTAAATTAAGTCCTTACGTTTCTTCTAACACTATTACCTGGTGATTTTTCAGGAAACTATTCAATTCCTGTACAGCTGGAAAAAAATCTGAGGTCCTTAATCACCTTTGTGCGTGGTTCRGGACACTTTAACCCAGATGAGATAGTGTGGGTGTGGGAGGGAGCAGGGCTGGCCTTGCTGTGGGTGGCACTCGGTGACCGTGGGAGGTCTCCTCCAACCTGGATTATTCTCTAACTGTGGCCCAACACGATGAAGCTCAGACTCCTCCATACCATATAAATCCATATTGTTCACTAGAATGGTGCTATTTATAACCTGCTGGAGACTGTTYAATGACAAACTGTCTCATGCTCCCTAAGAATGCACCTTATCAAARGCTTGCTGCTGATAAGGGTGGGCCYGCAAAGCCATCTGCTCCATCCTTTCATTTGCAACACAAAGCAGCTCAGTCTGCTGAGACACTGATTTATCCATTTAGCTCCACCTTCACAGGAATTTACTCTATCGAAACAGTTTATGTTTTGGTGCACTTCCTTCATTTTAGTTTCACTGATAAATTTTAAAGGCATTTTTGGGTAGTGTGCTATTCTGGAATGTTGTTATGTTGCTGAGAGTAACCAGATAGTGTGAGAGAAMTGCAAACCTTGCTTGGATGTTTTAACAGAGGGAAAGTGAACAGCATGAAGCTGATGCTGGCTTTGTGTATGAATATTAAAATAACTATTTGAGTGCCAAGCCCACATTAAAAAAAAAAAAAGCTGAAAATTTTGAGGCAAATCAGAAAAGAGGAGTAAGATCAAAGATTTTTTTTTCTAAAGAAGAAGAAATATTAGGYCAGATTAATGCTTATAACATATTAGAGCAGTCTGGAAGATGTAGAAGTAGCCAAGTTTAGAGAATGTAAAAGAGAAAGATGTGGTAATTTTACAAGAAGTGCTGCAAAAACTTGAGTGTACTCAGCTAATATTTCAAGATCACTCTGGAAACACTAAAGCTCAAGGAGACAGACACACAGAATTAAGACATTGAAAAGGAAAAKAATATGAAAATGTTATCATTAGAATTCAATTAAATGAAGAGCATTCAACTTAAGATATTTTTCACTATTCTTGACAAAAAAATAAAAGAGCATCTCCCCTGTTGAGTCTCGGCTGTCACCTCTAAGGGGCACTCTCTGCACCAAGAATTTGAAGAGAACTTTATTAATTCACTTCAAGGAGAGGYTTAATTAATGTTTAGACACAGTTGACTCTATTAGCACTAGTCCTACAGGTGTCAAGGTTTACAGCTTTGATTTTAAGTATGTAAAGGCCTTTTCCAAGGAATCAAAGCATGAGAAAATTAGGACAATTATATAAGATTTAAGAAAACTTAGACAAAGTACTGTTAATAATCTGAGGATGATGTTCATTTTGGAGAGACTGAGATGGCTGAGAARTTACTGCCTACTGCACTGGCTGTACAAGCATAACAAAAAGGCAMAAAACTTCAAAAGAAGGTGAACAGAAAACCGACTTCACATTATTTTGCTTTCTAAATCAGAACATTGCAACACAGTATTTTGTTACACTCATTTCCACTTACCTGCTTGCATTTGTCCTCAGCTGCCTTCTTATCYGTCTCAGCCTGCTCTGCTCTGTCGATGGCATTCTCCTTGTCTAACTTCAACATCTGCATCTTTTTCTTGATAGCTTCCATTTTTGCTCAAGGATAGGTTGGCTCTATCACCCAACTGAAAGAATCTGCCGAGTAAAATTTTAGATTTTGCGCAGCTTGGGACCAAGAAAGAAGTTGTACCCAGGCAAGTCGCAGGGAAAAATGAGCTACAAGTGGTTGTAGGGAGCTTTAAACCCAGAGCCCCCTGGACAAAACCCAGATCTATTGGCCTCTTCTCCGGTGTTCCATCCACAGCCTTTCTAAGGAATGAGCTGGAACAGGCTCACTAGAGGAATCTTCACCACTCCATCTCCTTATTTGGGTCCTGTTTTCTTAAAGAGAAAACTGTTTCCATTTTTAAGCTTCTGACAGCAGCATAAGTGTTGACATATGAACACATGCTTGGAAAAAAAAGCTGATTAGCTCCCCTTTGTGTGTGCACAGAGCAGTTAACCAACCCAGCRGATCTGTGGGCATGGGCCTGCCTTCCTGGAATAATGGCATGATTCGTTAGATAATTCCAAAAGAAATCAATATATTAAATAAATAAATAAATAATTTTTTTAAAATCTAGGCTTCAGAGGCAGCTAAATTTAAGTTATAAAAAGATGCAGGATATGAGACAGCAGGGTTTTTTTGCTGTTAAAACAAGCACTGGTGTTAAGGAACTATAATGTGTGATAGTGTAAAACATTAACAGAGCTCAGATTTAGGTGCCAAGTTCATGCTCAAGGCAAATTTGGTGAGTTTGAGTGCCTGTCCTTGAAGTTTCCCTCACTAAACACTCGGGGAACTGAACAMCACCTGAAGTTGCAGTCCGATGAGCACCGTAAATTATTCTCTCTGCTGTATGACGGAGTCACCTTCACTCTGTCAGGCAAGAGCAGCTTTGGGGAGAATTTTCACAGCCAAAGACACCMAACAGAGCCTCCAACAGCCCCAGAACGAGCTCTGCTTCCTTTAGCAGCTCAATTAAACATATCCCCAAAACCATTTCATCCCTTCTTATGCTTATGCTGAGCCTTACAGGCCAAATCAGCCTTGTCCTGACTGCTCTGGTCTGCTGGTATATTGATATAAATTGGGGAAAGCAGGAGGGAATGGGGTTTTTTTGGAGAGATGGTATTTTTCTTCCTGTGTCACCATTCCACAGAATGGGACCGTGGTCTCGTGGAGGTGGGAAACACCTGCTCACAGGAAGCAGTGAGTTAATTCCCTGTTTTTATCTGCTTGTGTGCCCAGCTTTTGCTTTCCCTATCAAACTGCCTTTATGTCAACTCATGACTTCTCCAGCTTTTACCCTTCTGATTCCCTCCCCGACGCCACTTGTGGGCGAGCGAGTAGCTACATGGTGCTTGAGATTAAAACACACTGATTTACTGTTGCTTAAATCAAAATTAATCAATTTTATTAAACCCCGGGCCTTCCCGCCCGCCGCCCGGAGCGCTGCCTTGGCCCCCACCCCAAGATGGCGGCCGTGAGCCCCCTCAGGGGCCGCGCTGAGGCGGCGCCAAGATGGCGGAGCGCGGGAACTACAACTCCCGGCAGGCTCTGCGCGATGGCCACGCCCCCTTTCGACCCCGCCCTCCGCCCTCAGGAGCGACCTCCTGAGCGACCGCTCGGATCTGTGCTTTTTGTGTGTGTTTCTGTGGGTTTTTTTTTACCTTTTTTGTTTGTTTGTTTGTTTATTCTGTTTTGTTTTTAATCTAATAAACAATAGTCGGAATTTTTAACAGCTCCCAGTTGAGTGTTTGCTTGGAAATCAATGCTGGCTCTTGCCTCTTGGTGTGTGCCTGTGCCTGGAACACCTCACGTAATTAAATGTACTTTTTCCAGGTACCTCTGCAGCCAGGCGACCCCCTGGGGTATTTTTTTTAGTCCAATTCCAATGATTTTTAAGCTATTCTGCGATTTGAACAATGGAAGGTAAAACCACATCGGTCCTCAGCCTGGAGCGGATTTAAGGTATCAGGGTGACGCACTGTGCTATCAGTGTCCCCAACCCTGCAGAAATGTCATTGAACCCCAATAAACCACGTTAATTGCTATCACTTGCATTTTTTTTGCTCTCCTGCCCTGGCAGTTTGTTGATTGAAAACTTTGGGGGTGAAACCCTCAGGAGCTGAGTGAGGGTCAGTGCTGGTGACCACAGGGTGATCGCAGGATGTGTGTGGGGTGCAGCCACGGTGATTCCCAGCAGCTTTCTTTGGGACAAGATGACACTTTTAATAACTTCCTCAGCTGGCTGCAACCCGGTGATCCAGCTCACATTCCTGTCTGAACCAGCTGGCTGTGTTTTATGGCTCCTTTAGGGCTTCCTGCCCTCATTTATGCTGTCATCCTGCATTCAGGCCTGTTCCACCCTGTGCTCCTGCTGGAGGTGCCACAGGCTCTYGGACTCAGAGGAGCAAATTTTGGGGTGTAGTTTGAAGATACGAGGGGAGGCAGGGGATGGGGAAGGATGGAGTTAGCTCTGTTTGAGCCAGCACATGTATGAATTTATGGGATGGGTGATAATGTGAGGCTGTGTGTGCTGCTCTGTGAGACGGCAGCTGCTTGTACACTTAGGTGTGCATTTGTACACTTAGGTGTGCATTTGTACCCTTAGGTGTACATTTGTACCCTTAGGTGTGCATTTGGAGCTGTTCCTGTGGCTGCTCTCACAGCCTCTTCATAATTTCTATGATTGTGAGAAGCACAAGTGGTTTTCCAGTCAGCTCACCAGCCCCTTCCTGCCGCGGGCTCAGGCAGGCTTGGAATCAGCGCTTGGCAAGCGAACACTGAACAAGAATCTTTTTCCTTTCTATTTCAACTGCAGGAAGATAATTTTTTCTAATCAACTCCGTTGTGTGACTCAGAGCCACGTTTAGAAAGGAACATCAAGAGAAATGTCACCCTCTGTGGCCCTTCAACCAGGTACATTCCCTTCTTCCCTTCCCTGCTTCACCAGCTGGAGAGAAAGACCTGAAGAATTCACTCAGTGATGATAATCCTGTCAGTACCACAGCCTCTGGTTTTCATTAGCTTGGGAAACACTGAGCAATCAAGAGAGAAGGAAAAGCACTCTAAACTTTATTTTTTTTTACTTTTTTTTTTTTTGTTTCAGGCAGGCAGGAAGGTGCTCTTACAGGCTGTAAGAATTCCTTTGTGTTCCCTTTTCTCTCTGAGGGATTGTTTATGCTGAGCAAAGCTTGGCGAGGTTGGTGTGTAAATAGGAGAGGATACCAGAAGGAAATGAAGTGGGATTGTTGGAGAGTGTGCTCATTCCTTTGGCAGCAAGGCTGCATGGGGAGCTTGTCACAGCAAGCATTTGAACAGACCTGTGGCCTGAGGTCTGACAGGTCTCGACATCTTCTTTGCCGTCAATCCCTGCTCCTTTTTTTGTGGCCCAGCAGTTAGCTGGGACCCACAACATGGCCCATTTCACTCMCTGGGCAAAACAGACACTTTATATCCCCCATTTTCTCCTACAACTCCTGCTCCACTCTGAACTTTGGTTATAAAACATCTCCTTCCTCTCTTTCACACTGATTGAGCTCCAACTCCCCATTTACAAAGCTGCATGTGTCAAGGCTAGAAGCAATTCAAAGCAAAAGGAAGAAGCTGTTGACAATCCTTTACCAAATTCCTTCATTTTCTTAACGTAAGTATCTCCTAACAACCCACTCTCATAAATTTTCTGTTGTAGAAACTATATAATGTGGTGTATCACTAGAAAAGGTGGCACTGAACTGAACATCAAACTTGTCTCTTCCTGGCATTTCCTTTTGAATGACAAGATCTGTGAACCCTCACACCTCAGTGAATTTGTTTTCTCTGATGTGTTCTCATGAACTATCTATTACTGACCACAGATGAGCAAAAGGTGCTGGGCTAGGTGTGATGAAAATGGTAGATGTGCTTTCCCTGTGCCTAGATCCAAGGGAAATTTACCTATTTTCTTCAATAATCCTGGCTACCTGCATTTCCCAGGAGGATGGCAGAATTCACTCGATATCTGACACACACTGGGAATCCTCTCTCACTTCCAACTTCGGGTACAGCAGAAGAAAGCAAATCCYACCCTGAATCCACGTTCATGTTTCTGGCTAATACAGGATGGAGAGAACCCTAGAAGAGAAGGAATCAGCAGCCTCTACCGGCAGATTTTGGCTGTCTTTTTTTTCTCTGGACTGGTCTTCATGGGTGAGACCTTTCAGTTGCAGAGACAATTTGCATTTAGAGCAAAGGACTCTCCCTGCGGGCCGTCTCCTCCTTTTTTTTTTTTGCTCTTCCAGCCCTTGCTGGGCCACAGCCAACGCTTTAATCTCTCTCTTGCCGTTAGATGGCAATGCACATCCACACATTCTCCCTTCCTTGAGCCTCTGGAAAATGATAGCGCCGCAGCTGGAATGGCTCATAGAGCCTCAAATCTTCTCTTTCCGCCCATGTCACCTTCCAAGAGTGAGGCACCTGAATTTGTTTTGCCTGACRAGGAATGGAGCTGGCTGGTTGAAGTGGCAGCTCCTCCGAGCCCTCAGTGGCACAAACATTCTGTCTCTCTCCATCCAGACCCTCCTTTGTACACAGTTTTGTTTTATTTTTGCTCTTCCATCAGTTAATTCATTTGTCTTTTGTTTTGCTGTTTCCACCACCATTTTGTTGTCCTGCTTATTTCTCAGCTCACCAACCCTYTCAGGCGGGTGAGTCATGGGCTGCCTCAGGCCAAACCCCTGAGGATACAGACTTCTTCTGAGGGTCATGAATCTCCCATCTGGGAACTTATAAAGAACTGCAGTGAGAAATAGCTACCACCGCAAAATGCTTYCCTCCATACCCATTTTTCACCCGTTCCATTGTCTGCACTTGACTGGTTCATTTACCATGTGCGTTACCAGGGCTTTTTTTTCCTTCACATTGACTTTTCCACCAGAAAATGTCACCAACTCACATTCAACTTGTGCTCAGAAAACTTGCAGGTTCACTTGTGTTCCAAAACCATGCAGGTTTGCTCCTTCAGAACTGAATATAAACACCTTTTTTTCTTTTTTTTTTTTTTTTTTTTTTTTTTCCTGGAGCTCATTTGAAGTTCAATTCCCTGCCAAACACTCCACCAACTCACAGTAGTGCAATATTTTTGCTGGGCAGCTGGCCAGGGCACTTGTAGGGCCTTTTGGAATCTGATTTGGATACTTGCAGCAGGATCTGTTCTGCTTGGTGACTTCAGCTGTGTTAGTGGCAGAAATCCTCATTTGCAGCAGAAAGAATGGAAGTACCATGTTTTTTTTTTTTTAAATCTCTTATGCTGATGGAGCAGATGGAGAGCTTCTGACTGTGGCTAAGAACAGGGCAGGAAGATGTTGACACTTTCTCCCATGCCAGGCAAAGATGGGAGGTTGGGGCTCCCCTCGACACTCACACCTCCWGTGAACATTAAAGTAAGCACCTTCCAGCTTTTCTGGATTTAAAATGTCTAAGCAATGAGGATTTTGTCTTAATCCCCCGGAGAAGTGCTCCTCTGTCACA